GGGTTCGATCCTCAGCACCACATACCAACAAAGATGTTGTGTCCGCTGAGAACTAGAAAATAAATATTAAAAATTCTCTCTCTCTCTCTCTCTCTCCTCTCTCACTCTCTCTTAAAAAAAATACACTCTGCTGTCATGTATATGTAAAAAGAACAAACAAAAAAAAAAAAAGGAGAAGAATAAGGTTCTGGCTGTCACCACAGAAAGTTACCAAACCAGAAAATTGGTAACGGGAGAAACTCACTGCCACTGCCATCTTTGTCAGCAAAACTGCGTGCCTTATACCCTTTCTCTCTGCATTTAACTCAGTTCCAAAATAAATTCCCATCTTGGGCTGGGGATGTGGCTCAAGCGGTAGTACGCTTGCCTGGCATGCATACGGCCTAGGTTCGATCCTCAGCACCACATACAAAGATGTTGTGTCAGCCAAAAACTAAAATAAATATATATATATATTTAAAAAATTCTCATCTTAAGTACAAAGGAGTCTAGGAAATAGTTTTTAGCTTTCCATCTCTTTCAATAAGAGATGGCACTAGAGGCTAGAATATGTATTGAAAAAGCCAAATCCACAGTCCTTGCCATATGTAGATAGGTTTTCTCCATGCATGCACTAAACAGCCTGATGTGCTAGAAAATTTTGATTTCCAACCTCAAATGGGCCCTTAACTCTACCCAGCAATACTACATTTCTCTAAAAAGCTCATTATCCTGTGTTCCACAATGACTTCCATATCTGCAATACTCATAAATCTCTGATCTTCTCTAAGTATATGATCCCACTTCCTCCTTTACAGAGAAAATAAAAGCCATGAGACAGGGAACTCACTTTATGAATATCAAACATACAACCTGCATCTATTGTCCTCATTTCCTTCTTCCCTTGTATTAAATGAAGAAACTATTCACCTTCCTCAAACTAATCCCTCTATCTATTCATTGGGTCCCACCCATTACCATTCTCAGAAATCTTATACTACTAGTGACCCAATTTCTCTCTTGTTTATTCAACTTCACGACTACTCTCTCAATTAGATCCTTGATAACCTCATCCTCTTCAGCTACAAGATTCTCTCCTCCTCCTTACAATTATATCTATAAAAAATACTGTCCAGGAGTTTCTATCACAGATCATTCATTTACTCCTGAGACACTCTTAGAGTCTTCCTCTCTATCTTCTCCTTTTCCACTTCTCCTGTAGGTTCACTCATTTGTTCTTTGCCACATTGGAAAAATTCAAGGTTCTTTGTTGATTTTATCCACACCCATTGTTCAATTATCACATATATGCAAATTACTCTCAAATTTATATTTCCAATACAATTCTCTATACTGAGAACCAAAGATTGATTTCAAACCACCTCCTCGATGTCATCAATTACCTCCCCATAAAAAACCACAACAGACAAAAAACTGGTGTTGGCCAGGCACAGAGGCACATTTCTATAATCACAGCAACCTGGGAGGCTAAGGCAGAAGGGCACCAAGTTCAAGATCAGCCTCAGAAACTTATAGGGGTGCAGCTCAGCAACTTAGAAGAAGAGCGCCACTGGATTCAATCCCCAGTACCAAAAACAAACAAAATTGATCTCCAGTCATCTTCTGGTGTTCCCTATCTCAGTAAACACTACCATAATATATTCAACTGCATATGTCAGAAACCTAGAAGCTATCTTTGTCTCTTCACTCTGTGAATCCAGTCCATCACCAAATCATTCTCATCCACTCACTCCCTATATACCTCTAGAATCTAATTTTCTGCAGCTCCATCTCAGTCCTGTTGACCTTTCTGACCAGGATCACTATATACTCTAAGACATCTATCTGTATCCTCTAAGGCTCCCTTCCCTCCAACCTGTTCACACCATTAAGCCCCACTCCCTAGGAGAGGGAAAACTCTCTCTCCCTTTAGAAGTAAAAGCCTAATCTCTACCACCTCCAGCTTCATCTTGTATCATACTCCCCTTTGGTTTCTTTATACCAGCCACACTGGCTCTTTGTTTTAATATTCCTAAACTGATATGAGACCTCTGTCCATGCTGTTCTGTATGGAACGCTCTGCCCTCCCCTCTTCCCGTATAATTAGAATTCTTCCGTCAGATATCAGCTCAGGCATCTTTTCCTCAGAAAAGCCTTCCTGCTTACTTCAGGCGTGAAAAGCATCAGCAGCACTTCCATTTATTAGTGAGCTCACTGTTTAACATCTGTTTTTCCCAACACACTCTAACCACCTGAGGATAGGGGCCATGTTTGGTTCATAATGTATCCCCTAACGCTCTGCACAAGAAATAGCAGTAGGGCGACTGAGAAGACTTGGCTCCGGGGTCTGAATCTCGCTCAGTAAAGCTGTGCTCTGGAGAAGGAGCTGGACATTTCCTTCATCGCTCTCTCTCTCTCTCTCAGGGGAGTACAGGAGGCTCTCATAAATGACTGCAAAATCAGTGGCAGAAACAAGTCGGCCTCCTCAGCCAAAGGGGCACCCCACGTAGGCTGGGAGAGTGGCCTGTCTTCCCGGAAMGCCCGGCACAGGGCTGGACATAGCAGGGGTCTCTCGAAGGCAGCAGCCATCAACGACCAGCAGCAGCTGGGTCTCAGTCCTGCCGCTAGAGACCCCAAAGCTCTGCTCCTGCCCGCAAAGGGGCTATCAGAACTCAGAACTCGGGGGCCTCCCGCCCCCTTGCAATCAGAGCCTTCAGCTGAGAAGCGCAGGCTCAGGCCGCACAAGACTGGCTTTGCCTCTAGATTCGAGGAAGCACCCACCCCGACTCTCCCTCAAACTCACTTGGCGTCAGCTTCAGATCTCCCCAGCCGCCTTATTGCCCGAAACGCCAAACCCAGTCAGAGCGTTCCCACCCACAAGACCCAGCGCGCCTAGGAGGGACGCCAGCCGCGTTCACCAATCCTGGAAATGCACTCTCATGACATCAGAAAAAATATGACCAATAACAAGAGAGTATCCAGAGGGCGGTGCAAGAGGGAAATACTGAAAGCCTATTGGCTTCTCCAAATCGGAAGTTCTGGAGGAAGGACTAAACCGGAGCCAATCACAGGCCGCCCGAAGTTGTCAGCGCGGTCAGTGGCGGCGCTGAGGACAGCGGGTACCGCCATGATAGAACAGCAGAAGCGCAAGGGCCCGGAATTGCCGCTGGTTCCCGTCAAGCGGCAGCGGCATGAGTTACTGTTGGGAGCAGCGGGGTCGGGCCCCGGAGCCGGGCAGCAACAGGGGACTCCGGGAGCTTTACTGCAAGCGGTAAGAAAAGAGGCCGGCGGCCTTCGGCCCTCAGCTCATCCTGGTCTCTTCCTAGCGCCGGTACCTGATGATCCCGCAGTGCGGGGTGAGAATGCACCTGAAATTAAAATAGATAGACAATAAAAGCGACCAGTATCACGTGGATGTTCCGTACATGTTTCTATGTTTCAGGCACGTTTTAAATCTCTCGACTGCCCTATGAGGCAGCATTGAAATTAGTTTAAGAACCTTGGGCGCACAATCAGGGCCCGGGCTTCTGCATCCTAAATATCCCGGGGATCCGGCATAAAAATAAACATTCAGAAACATTTGTAGAATGGACGAATGAATAGGGAGGGAAGGAGAAAGGGAAATAAATAATACTGGCTCTCTTTGGGGTTTGGGGCAAGTCGCTTTTCCGTTTACTTCTCTGCACTAGTGTTATTAACAGCAACTGAATGAACTCATTGATCCTTGTACTAAATGTTTTTGTATATGAAGTTTATATTAGTCTTGGTGTCAGCATAAGAGTTAGAAACTGTTACTTTCCCATTTTGGAGGTGGGAAAACAAACCCTTATCCAATAAGCAATAGATTTCGAATTGGGATCCGTTCTCCTGTGTTTCTTGTAAAATAGAGATGATCACACTTCTGTTACCATACTAATACAATCAGCTTGTCAGCAAATCCTGATGGCATAGACCCCAATAGATCTGGATAATATACAGAATTACTGCCACTTTTTTTTTTAACTCTATTACTGTTATTACTTACATTTTGTTGTTGTTACTAGGGATTGAATCCAGAGGAGCTTTACCGCTGGGCTACATCCCCAGCCCCATTTTTTAAAAATTGTTGGTTAGAGCCTCGATAAGTTTCTGGGCTGGTCTTGAACTTGAGATCCTCCTACTTCAGTCTCCTGAGATGGGATTGCAGGCCTGAGTCAACCACTAGGCTCTAAAGTCATTATCTCATATGGAATTAGAGGGACCTTGTATTTCTGTTTTTATCCTTGTGTAGACACTCTATAATATCAATCTAACAGCCAGGGGCATCCTTCTAAACATCAAATTATATGACTGCTGAAAACTTTCCAATGACTTTCTATTTCATTCAGAGTAATCAAATTCCTTATTTCTATTGGAATGATCAGGTGGGTATCAAAATAGAGGCATGAGTTACTTGAGTAGAGCTGCCTTTCTCTAAAGCATTTTAAGCATTTTCCTGATCTTTTCCCTTCACTCTTTACCCTTTACAATTTTGCAGTCTCCTTTGCCATACAGCAGTGGCTACCTCATACGTATCTTTTGTTTAGGGACCTCCAAGATGTTCCTCCCTTCAAGCCCCAATCATGCTGCTCTCAGGACATGAAGGAGAAGTGTACTGCTGCAAGTTTCACCCAAATGGATCCACCTTAGCATCTGCAGGATTTGACCGACTGATATGTGAGGCATAGTTTGTTTTTTTGTTTTTGTTTTTGTTTTTCAGTGCTGGGGATTGAACTCAGGGCCTTATGCATGCAATGCAAGCATTCCCCAGCCCAAAGCATAGTTTTTGAATCTGGAATAATTGTTCTCTGCCAAATAGTGATTTAAAAAATTTTTTTTGGATAGCATGTAAGTTATGTGTCTAAATTGGCAACATAAACTGCATGGCAAACATGCTAAAATCCAGGCATAAAAATGTAGAGTGATCACTTGGGTGTAGAATTTGGAGTCTATGTGGTATAAATACAGAAAGAAGGAACTATTCTACTAATTGGAAAAGTGAATTGGCTGTGGTTTAGAATATATTTCTCATAAAGGCAGATTTTAAACTAATTTAGGCAAGACAATATAGGATTAAGAGATTGATGATGGATATGAGGAAAGAGAAAACTTTCCTTTCTTAAAGGTATGAGACCTTCTTCTTGATCCATACCCTGAATCTTAGCATATATGAAGGAAGGAGGGGATCCTAAAATAGTAACTCATTCAGATAATTGACCTGTACATCATTAGGTACTGCTATCAGATTCTTAGCTATTATTACTCAGGAATACCCATTGTTGAAAAATCAGGCTAGGACTATAGCTCAGTAGTAGAGCATTGCCTAGCATACACAGGCCATGGGTTGAATCCCTAGAACTGCAAAAACAGGAGTGGGGAGAAATTACTTTGAAGCAGGGAGTCAGCTGAGCATAGTGGCACATGACTATAATCCCAGCAACTAGGGAGATTGCAAGTTCTAGGCCAGTCTCTACAACTTAGACCCTAAGCAATGTAGCAAGACTCTCAAAATAAAACATTTAAAGGGCTGAGGATCTAGCTCAGTATTAAAGCAGCCCTAGGTTTAATCCCCAATACCAAAAGGAAGAAGAAGAAAGGATGAAGGGGGGTTTTGAAAAAGCAAGAGAGAGCATAACAGAATTATCTCACTTTTTTTTTCTTGTGGCTTTATTCTTCATTGTCTTATAATCAGATGATTATGAAGTAAAATGAGTCCTTTGCCTTTTTTTCTTTTTCTTTTAACTCTGCCTCAGAGTGGACTATATATGTTTTACTACCCCCTCCTTTTGTAAATTTTTTGTTTATTTTTATGTGGTACTGAGGATTGAACCCAGTGCCCCACACATGCTAGGCAAGCACTCTGCCACTGAGCAATAACCCCAGCCCTTCACTGCCCATTTTGATTTGGGTGTTTTAGTCCTGTGATCCTTATTCTTACCAATAGCTAAGCATCTGGAAGACTTGGGGATCTTTGTTGAACTTCTATGATTATCAATATTGATATGCTTAATTTCATTACACTAGAAAGAAGTAGTCTCGTTGGCAGAAAAATTATTTTCACATCTGTAGATATATATATATATATCTTGCCTAGGTAGGTAATCCATAATAACACTCATAAAAAATCAATCCTTTCGAGACCATTCTCCCTGAAGAAAAGAACAATGTCTTCTCATTTATTCTAACACTTGACATGTAGTAGTTACTTACTAAGTGTGGAATCAGGAATGTAGTACAGTGTCATTGCCATGTGACCTTCAAGTTGTAGATTCTGTAAGTCTTATCATTTTCGCAGACTCATAACATGTTTATAGAAGTAGGTGTCAACTTTTTTAAAATTACAGGGAAGAAAATTAAAATTTTCAAGAACTATCTTTTTTCATATTATTAGTTGTAAAAATATGTCATCATTTTTATTTTAGTGTCAAGAAAATTGGTTCACTTTGTCAAACGAGCAGTGTTCTAAGAGAGTATAATTTCAGAACTATTCTGATGGTTAATTCACAACTTTTTGTGGAGGGGCAGGTACTAGGAGATTGAACCCAGAAGCACTCTACCACTGAGCTACATCCCCGGCCCTTTTTTATTTTGACACAGGATCTCACTAAATTACTGAAGCTGACCTTAACCTCTTAAGTAGCTGGGATTACAGGTGTGCACTACCATGCAAACTATGAGTAACCTTTCACAGCCAGTAGAGTGCTTTGTTTTGCATGTTAATACCCACAAAACACCTCTCTCCTTAACAGTGTTGTGGAATGTCTATGGTGACTGTGATAACTATGCTACATTGAAAGGACACAGTGGAGCAGTGATGGAACTGCATTATAATACAGATGGCAGGTGAGTATTATGCATAATGGAATGACAACTGCTTCTCATACTAATACCTCTTAGAGTCCTTTCACCTTTTGACCTTGAGCTAGCTTCTCTTAAGAAACCTTTTTATCAAAAATGGCTACATTTTAGATAGCCACTTTATTATCCTTATTACTGTCACCACAAGTTAAGAAGTTAGGTGTTTGTTATCTATGTATGCAATTATAAATACATTGTCACTGTCATCTAACAGTAGTCCAGATAAATTTGTTTTGTTTTATAAGACACAAAGCAAAATATAATTTTATCTGTAGAAATGAGCTACTTTTATTATGAAAGTAACAAAATATAATTTCAAGAAACCAAAAAAAAGCAGATAGGTTTTTCTTTTAATTTTTTATAACTGTAGATAAATGGTGTGCCTTTGTTTTATTTGAGTTTTTTTTTTTTTTTTTTTTTTTTTTTTTTTTAATGTGGTACTAAAAATCAAACCCAGTGCCTCATACATGCTAGACAAGTGCTCTGCCACTGAGCTATAGCCCTGGTCCCAGATAGTTTTTTTTTTTTTTTTTTTTTTAAGTGCATGTTCCTGCCATCCAAAAATAGTCACTATTAACGTTATATATTTTTTTATCCCAACTATTTATTTTTGTTTGGTGTGTTGGTGCATATCTGTAATCCCAGCTACCTGGGGAAGCTGAGGTAGGAGGATTAGAATTTTGAGGCCAGCCTGGACATGTTAGCAATACCTTGACTCAAAATAAAAAGAGCTGGGAATGTAGCTCAGTAGTAAAGAACCCTTGAATTCAAAGTTCAGTTAACACATACCACATACACAAGTAGAGTTTTTTTGGTTTTGTTTTTTATAATTTTTTGGGGGGTTGTAGATGGACAGAATGTCTTTATCTTATTTTTATGTGGTGCTAAGGATTGAACCCAGTGCCGCACACATGCTAGGCAAGTGCTCTGCCATTAAGCTGCAGCCCCAGCCCACAAGTTTAGTTTTGATATATTTGTTAGAGATACATA